GGGCTACACGTCAAACGGGAAAATTACAAAGCAGCAGCGAGCAGAAGCGAAGCGTGAAAAAGCCCAACCCGACGCGCGCGTGGAATCCACCGCCTGAAGGTAGTGGCGCGCAACGTAAATAAGAAGGGAAATGGAAGGGTAAAATAGTAAAGTGAAAAGGTGGCGTGCTTTAACGCCATAAAAGGCTTCACAGAAAGTCACTCTCTGTGTCCCAGAGAGACTGAGTCACTCTGTAACACAGTACCCCTACCATCCCACTCCCTACCTATACGCCTCCCCTCTACGCTCCCCGCATTTTCCCGGAAAATTAAAAAGGAAAACGAAGGAAAAAAATTTTTTTTTTCGGGAAGTCGACAATTGCGTCAGAGTCGGAAGCGATCGCCCCCATTCATCACGTACGTACACACACAGGTGTAAAAAAGAGTTTCAGTTCGTTGAGATTCGTGCTGGAAGAGAGAGAGAGAGGGAAGAGGAAAAGGAGAAAGAAAGAGAAAGATCTTCCTCTCCCCATCGGATCAGGCTGATTTAAAAGCGAAGGCGGCGAGAATTTATTGATATGATGTGTTTGATAATTCACCATCATTGATGCACATGACCTGACGCCACCCTTTTTTTTTTTTTTTATTTCTTTCCTTCTTTTTTTCTCTGATTTATGGGTGAATTTTTGTTAATCTAGTCACTCTGGTTTTTGTAAGAGAGCGGCGTCATAAATTCGGGGTTGGGTTTGCGGAATGGTTGAATGGGAACATCTCGGAGTTCGAGGAGGTGGCTTGCTTCTTCTTGTTGTTCTTGATTATTGAATGCTGGTGCTATTTGGTTGGTTTGGCCTTAGTGCGTTCATTTTAGGTGGATAAGTTTTGTCATTCTTGGGCTCGGTTTTAGGTTTGGTTTTCATCCCCCTGAGAGGGAAAGCTTGGGATGTTGGTGTATGGTATCATTGTTATGGGCAGCTGCAGAGAGAACAGAGGTGTCTTCTGCTGTGCTACCTGAATAGTTTCTTGGGGTTTTCCTTTTTTTCTTGGTGTTTTGTGAAGGGTATTTTGAAAGAAAGGCGAAGATGAAGTTTATGAAGCTTGGGTCGAAGCCTGATGCCTTCCAAGCTGACGGCAAATGCATCCGGTAAGATTTTGACTCTTGTGGCTATTTTCCTTCCGTTTTTCTACGCAAACAAACAAACTTGAAAGTTTCCTTCTTTATTCGGTCTGTCTTTTTGTTTTTTCTTATCTGTTCCCGGAAATTCCGTCTACATCTTTCGATTTTTTATGTATTGTCTCGCAATTAGACATTATGTTTTCGCTGTGTTCAAGATATGCTCGAGCATCGGTTTGATTCTTGGGTTTAGCGTTTTCCTTTGTCTATTTTTCGCATAGTTGTATATACTTTTGTGCATGTACATCTCTCATCTCACACCAATTTTATATTTTGTAGCTCTCTGTAATGTTACTGAAAATTCTTGTCGTTGTATAGAATCTGATAGTTGTTGTTTCTAGTTTACATAGCGTCAAGGAGAAAACCCCTTATGAAAATATAGCATTAGCCATTAAAATTTTGATAAAGTTGCCCCCTTGATTGCGCTTTCGCTTGATAATAGATTTAACACATGGTTTATGGATATTTTTAGTATATAATTTATTGTTGGTAAGGCAAGAGAGTGAAAAGGGAGATGGGTATCTCTCTGGGAAGTGGTCCAGCGTTTGGAGTGTCGTCTTTTTGATGGGTTAGTGGTCCAAATGTGGGGAGGGCATGTAGGATAAAAGGTTTCAATCATCGTTGGGAGAATCTCTTTTAAGTAAAGAATGGCATGTTCTACCTAATTTCCGGCATTTCTCATCTTCCAACAAAGCCTGATTTGGGGATCTTGCAGCAGCACTCTTGGATTCAACACATGACATGTCAACAAAAGTTTCTCAAAAGATAACTAACACTGACAGCTTTTCTTTTTTGAGAGAATATAAGCATTTTTTTTTTTTCCATTATGCTGTTTGAGGGCAATTAGGAGTTGGGGCAGTGTCCTGGTTTCAGCTTGTTGGTCATTGGAAAGGTGGTCCAATATGTCCCATGCTTGTATTCTTTGATGAGCACGTAAAAATGTATGTGGAACCCATTTCTTTAGGCAACTATCAAGATCATTTTTTAGATCTAATACCTCTGGTATAGATTGCTTGCTGATATTGACCTTTTAGTATCAGATTACAACTTGTTAAGAAAGGTTAGAGGGCATCAGAGGGGATTTGGTTGTTATTCCCCTGTATTTATGAAGTATTTCCTTTGCTGTGGTTGGTTAGGAACTTACATGCTCCAGAGTTTAGTTTTATCGGGGAAACATAAAGCCAGACAAAGTATAGATTGTTGCATGTTAATGAGTGTTTGATGTCATACTTAAGAAAAAGGTGTCTCTGGCAAGCAAGCAATGAAGGCTGTGATGTGTCAGTAAATTGTTGTCTTAAAACTGAAAATATCGAAATAATGTTAATATTAGTGTTATGGTAGGCCTTTCTGACCTGGGGATTGACACTTTTTTGTACTCGTGGCTCATGTTTTCCTGAATTAAGGTTTGAGGGCATGGATGGATAAGTTGGCTTTAGTTTTTATATTGCATGTTTATAGTCTGTTGACAATTGAGTTGCATGATCTTTATGGACTTTAACATGATAAATCTGCTTCTGCAGGTATGTAACATCTGATCTGTCAACAGACGTCATTGTTAACGTTGCTGAAGTGAAATTTTACCTTCACAAGGTGTGTCATTCCTCTGCCTCCATTCACATTCTTCTTTGTTAAGGTGCATGAAGTTATGTCAAAATAACCAGTTTTGAAATGTTAAATCTTTATGCGAATACTATTTGCTTCCTGCAATTTTTGTGGTGTTTGGCTATAACATGATAACTGCTGTTATATATGATCAATCACATAAAAGATTTTAAGCAAGTTAAGATGAATCTGATTTCTTGTATTAGTCTGTTCTGTCAAACATGGAAAGATGGAGTGCAAACTCTCACTATTGCCCTAATTTGCTGTTATGTCTTTTGGTTTTATAATAATATGTTCTGTTTGTGTCTTTCCAGTTTCCTCTTTTATCTAGGAGCAACCATTTGCAAAAATTAGTCCTTAAAGCTAATGAAGAGAGCTCTGATGAAATTACCATTGCTGATTTTCCTGGTGGCCCAAAAGCATTTGAAATTTGTGCTAAATTCTGTTATGGAATGACAGTTACTCTAAATGCTTATAATGTTGTGGCTGCTCGTTGTGCGGCTGAGTACCTAGAGATGACTGAAGATGTTGATCGAGGAAACCTGATTTTTAAAATTGAAGTGTTTCTAAATTCAAGTATTTTCCGCAGCTGGAAAGATTCCATTATTGTTCTCCAAACAACAAAATCTCTTCTGCCGTGGTCTGAAGACCTGAAGATCGTTGGGAGATGTATCGATTCCATTGCTTCTAAAACCTCAGTGGATCCTTCAAACATCACTTGGTCCTACACGTATAACAGAAAGTTATCAGCTCCCAACAGAATGGTTCAAGATGATGTGAAATTGCAAGAGAAGGTTGAATCTGTCCCAAAGGATTGGTGGGTTGAAGATATATGTGAGCTAGACATTGATCTTTATAAGCGAGTCATGACTGCTGTAAAATCAAAAGGAAGAATGGATGCTACAGTGATTGGTGAAGCATTGAGAACTTATGCTGTTAGATGGTTGCCAGATTCTGTTGAAGCTTTGGTTGCTGATGCACATTCTTGGAGGAACAAGTTGCTAGTGGAAACAGTTGTATACTTATTGCCTTCAGATAAGGGTGTGGGCTGTTCATGTAGTTTCTTGCTGAAACTTTTGAAAGTTGCTGTTTTGATCAGGGTGAATGATTCTTCATGGGAAGATTTGGTGAAGAGGATCAGCCTAAAGTTCCATGAGGCGTCAGTCAAAGACTTGTTGATCCCAGCACGGTCTCCACAAACTACCTTTTATGATGTTGAATTGGTGCAATGCCTTGTGAAACGATATCTTGTGCATGAAAACTTTGGTCCGCAGTTAGATGTCATGAAGAATGAGTTGGGATGTGATGATTTTGTTTTAGGGCATGGATTGCTGTTAAATGTTGGTAAATTAATAGACGGATATCTTGCAGAAATTGCCCATGACCCAAATCTTGATCTCGCCAGTTTCATTGATTTGTCTCGATCTATTCCAGAGACAGCAAGACCAATTCATGATGGATTATACAAAGCCATTGACCTGTACTTAAAGGTAAGCTCTTATGCTTTGAATTGCAGTTCTCTAAATCTTTCTCAGACTCTTAACTAGTCTACCTAGTTCTGCACACATTTGCCTATGATTCTTTTGGATTTTCATTTTAATTCCTAATGAGCGTATGCCATACATAAGAACTAGGAACTTTGTATTGTATACAAATGCATTGGATATCATTGGCTTATAACATGTGCTCAGGAGCACCCTAGCTTGACAAAGTCTGAAAGAAAGAAGATATGTGGGCTGATGGATGTCAAGAAACTGACAATGGAAGCATCAATGCATGCTGCACAGAGCGAGCTGCTTCCTCTCCGCGTTGTAGTCCAAGTTCTCTTCTTTGAGCAGGTTAGAGCAGCTGCAGGAATTCAAGCTCTTAACAACAATCCCGGTGAAGTTTCCCATTCAACAACAAACACAGATGAAGAATGGGACAAGAATGCAACTGCAAATGGAGATTGTAACTCCCTCAAGAAACAGATGAGTCAACTCAAGATAAAGAAAGATGAATGCCAAAAGAACGGAAAACTGACCAAGAAGAGTAGTAGCAAAAACAGTAAAACTGGCATTCAGTTGCTACCTTCCCGATCTAGAAGAATATTTGACAAGCTGTGGGTTGTGGGCAAAGGTCAGTCAGAGAATAGAAGCTCCGAGACATCCGGGAGTTCACAAAGTCCAACTTCAATGGTTCCAGGGGATACCAAGTCCTCTGGTTCATCCTCAAGAAACAGGAGGCATTCCGTATCCTAGGGAAGGACATTCCGAGGCAATCAAACCGGTGAAGAAGATTCAAAACTGCTGATAAGTGTAAAAAGTCGGTAGGATTTTGTTGTAGCTTGCCTGTTTTATCTTTATTGTCTTTGTGTAGTAACATTCCACTAATGGGTCTTAGGTGCAGGAAAATTTTAATCAGTTCTTTTGGGTGTCGTGTTTCTAACCTGTCTTGTTTCCAATTGCAAGGTTGTCCATCCTAGTGTATTTCGAATCCTATTTCAATTCCCCACTCTTCTTTACTGCCACATGATATCTTCTGTTTGTTTCCCGGGAATTCCATTTCAAAGCACTGGTGAGTATAGAATGAAATGAATCAATCTGTGAGTAAGAAATTTCCTTTCTTTTTCCTTTTTCATCACTTGGACACTATGAATAAGAGCAGATGTAAACGTGGATGAATCTAACGCAAGCAACCCATAAGATTTTCATCTGGAAATTCTTAAATTTTCATTGTAATTTGCGTTCAACATGCTTCTGCTTCAAGATTCCATGGCTGTCACGCAACCTCAGTACTTTGAAACCATGAAAATGAAGTTTCTTTCTTGGATTTAAACTTTGAATAACGGAGAATCTTCAACGGGATGATTCCTTCCTTAATCGTCTCCTCCAATTATTTATTTCCTTCAAGTCTTTGACTCCCTATTTTACCCATTCAGGCTTTCGCCTAAGAAATTTAGAATCGCGGAGAGGATAGCGAACCTGTTTGGAGCGAAAGAAACCGAAGGAAAATGCAACTGGGTCAAACCATCACCATATCGTTTCTTCTCTTTCTCTACGTGAGTTTCTGTCTGCCTCGTGTCTCTGAATCGTTGCCACGATGCAAAGCGTGGTTAGTCCAATCCATTCCCACCGATATGCCCGAACTCCGTCGCGTTTCCGGCGTCCTCTCCACCGGTGATTAAATTCTAAACCCCTTTTGTTTGGTTTCCAAGAAAGTCGGCGTCTTTACGGAGTAGCTGACCCTTTCATTTTTTCTTCTATAGGGGATGTGTTCAGGTGGCTTGCGAATAATTCCACGGAGAGGCTAGACATAATCGCACAGTATTGGCAGCTGGTAGCGACTCCGGAGGATCCTCGCTCCGGTGATTATGGATACTCCAAGGATGATATGCAGCGATTTGGCGCCGATGAAGGGTATGCCGTTTACAAGGCCCTGGAGAACGCCGCCGCTCGCGATGTTGATATCAGGTAATGTTGTATGCGTATTCCAAGTGTCCTGTTTCTATGAAATGGAAGCTAAAACTGAGCAATTTTCTGTTATAGGTTACTGCAGCACTCGGGTGTTTATCCTGACTATACTAAAGAACCCACCAGCCTTGCCTTAGGAAGGGAAAATGTCGAGAGTATGACTTTATTACTTGACAAATGGTGGGGTTCAGGCATAGTGCATACAAAAGTTTGGATATCCAATCGCCGAGATGTTTATATAGGATCTGCAAACAATGACTGGAAATCTCTTACTCAGGTATGTTAAACATCCATCGTAGGATCACAACTTCTTATGTTAACAGGGTTGGAAGATGTTTTTGCTTAATTTTAGCATCAAGATTTTAGAACAAACATTAACTTGTGGAGGGTGGAAGGGAAAGCTTAGACATTCTATGTCACCTAGTAGTTGTCGATCCTGATTCACCTGCTTAACGGGAAGTAACCAGATTGTCCATTTGTAGAGACACCTGGAAGAGAAGATAGTAGACAAGCAATCTGTTTTCTGAGGTGTTCGTGTCTTGTATATATTGGATGTACTTTTTTTTAGCCAACAAGTATCTCGGTTCATCCTCTTCCTTGTGTCATACACAAGTCAGTGAAAAGAACAGATTATCTTTGCAAAAGAAACACAGGACCATTACTTGGTGCATATTCAAAAGTCAGAAATGTATGTGAGGATTAGTGCCTACTTTCATGGACATTCTATGCTTATATGGTCTCAAATCTCATAATTGTCTTTTATTGATAGCCGTACTCTCTTTAATAAGCTTAGCATGTTGGTTTAGTTGAACATTATGGAAAAGCTGTCATGGCTCCTGATCATGGTTACAGGTGAAGGAAGTTGGGATCTATCTTGTTGATTGTCCAAAAATTGCAAGAAAGGTGGAGGCCTACTTCAATAATCTATGGGCACTTGCACATCTTAATTCTGCAGCTTACACAAAAATGGTATCAGACAAACAATGGCAGATTGACAGAATAGTTCCCTGCTGGTCACATTTCCTTGATCCTGAAACGAGGTGCACGTAAGTTTCTGGCCCTACATTGTAACCCCAACTTCACATTTTACTTCATTTATATCTAGTTCTACAATAAATTCAGTTAATCAAATATTCTTGTTTCAAAAATCGTAATGACTAGATAGCGGTACGTTTTGATGTGAATATTGATCCGACTTAAACATTATGCTGCACTTTCTCTTTCTGCGCCATCCTCCAGACTTTGAGTTGTTAAATGTTTCCTTTGTATGCTAAAGATGAATTTAAGATTGGATTAGCTTTGAAAAACAACCACTTTGCTTTTCCTCTGATTGCACAACCTTTGTTGATAACTGGGTGGATTTATATGTTTTATTTTCTCCTTTCTTTTTGTCTCAGGACACCCCTTTCTACTCCTTTTATAGAGGTTCGCCATGTGAGAGGCTATCCAATACTTTCACATCCTAAAATCTTAAAGTTGATGATTGAGACTCCTGGATGTCCCTATTCAACTTCTATGCCTCAATCATCCTATCTCTCGTTTGCTCCACCAGAGGTAAGTGCCTGCATAACCACTACAGTTTTTTTTGGAAATTGAACATCAATAACTATGCTTTATTGCTTGAAAACTAATCTTGTACATGCTTATTGAACCAATTTTAACGCCGGGTTAATCTTACTGCAACATACTTTTGTTTCAAGGGTAGTGGTCAAGGCCATACTTAAATTTCAGAGAAATCATACAATCAGCATATATAACATGTTCTATGCTTCATCCAATATGATGCCAATTGCGGTTAGCAGCTGTCATTTGACAGGTACCAGCCTGATGAACAAGCATGGATAGAAACAATTAAATCTGTTGAAATTGGTGGAACTGTCAGGATAAATACTATGGACTGGCTCGGTCAATCTCAGTATACAAAACAAACGGTTTATTGGTCCTCCCTCTCTTCTGCTATATCAGAGGTAACTTACAATCTTATTATCCATTATCCATTCCAGTTATGAATTCTTCTTTAAAAAAAAACTACATACCATGTTTTTTGCTCTTGTTAGGTTGTCTTCGCCAGGCAGGCAAAAGTGAAGATAATGGTAGCATACTGGGCGCATTTCATTAATAACACAGAAGTGTATCTGAAGTCACTTCTCTTCTCCAATGTCCTCTGCTCTTCTTCAAAATACAACGACTGTGCAGGCAAAGTTGAGATCAAATACTACGTGGTGCCAGGTTACAATTCAACTGGAGCTGCAATAAAAGATGGAGCCCGTACTGGTAATATCTATCCAGGCTATACCAGAGTCAATCATGGTAAATATGCTGTTAGTGATGTGAGGGCTCACATTGGCACGAGTAATCTCGTATGGGATTATTTCTACACGACAGCAGGAGTCAGCTTTGGCACATATGATCCTGCAATTGTTTCTCAACTGCAAGAAATATTTGATGCTGATTGGAATTCCCCTTATGCTGTTCCTGTCAAGGACTTGCAGGAGGGTTATAGCTATCCGAAGTAGTTAATGGCTTGATATGGAAATGGCCATGGTAAGATGAACTAAAGGAACATATGCATTTTTCTACTAAATTATTAAAAATTAAAAATTTTAATCATAAATGTTTTGTGCAGTCCCCTTGAATCAAGATTGCAAAAAGGACTCAATTCTTTTTTTTTCTCTTATTAATCTCATAGATATTTGTAAGTTGTCTTGATTACAAGTATCGAGTAAAATTTTACTTTTAAAAGTGATAGATGTGACTCATTGAAATTGTTTGTATTTAAATAAGGTTTAAAGGATTCAAACTTACATTTTTAATATATTTTGAATTACTCTTTATCTAATTAAACCAATCCAACGTGTTAAAAAAGGACTCAATTCTAATAATTCAATTTTTAAAGGGTTGAGAAAAAACAAAAACAAAATTCTCAAAAATAATTGAAAAAAATCCAAAACATAACCTATTTGAGAACTCTAGTGACAAAAGTAGTGGACTCAGGCCGATTATAGATTTGGTCTGGGCCTTATAAGTCCATATTTTGTGAGTCTTGCTTGGGCAAATCCATCTGATTGTTGCATCAAGCCCAAAAGATCAACCCTAACTGACTTTCGGCCTAAGCAGGCCGGAGCCGCCATCGGGCACCGGAGACCTGCGCGTACCCTGCTCGTCGATAGTGCTTGAAATTGAGAGAGAACATTTCCAGTGCTAAAACACTGTGTCTTGTTCAACGGAGCTCGGAGAGCGCGAACAAGGGAGAGACAGAGAGAGTTACGAGATGCAGAGAGTTAAAGCTTTAGTAAAAGGGAGGTATTCCATTGAGAGAATTGGGTTTCTACCTCGTCCCAGATACTTCTCTGCTCAGCCAAACTACGCCCAAAATGATGATCCCCAGGAACAGGTTAGTGTTGAATGTATATGGGTATTTGTTCATTTATAGCTAAAACACATTTACATGGGCTTGTCAACCTCTTCTTGCATCTCTACATTGTGTTCGTGCTGGCTTGAACTTGGAGTAAAATGCTAGTTTTTGTGTTTATTCGGTGCCTTTGCACCACAAGGAGTTAACTTTCTGTCGATAAATGGAAGAGCTATGTGTTTTTGTTAAATTCTGCTTATTTTTTTGTGAATTTTTCAGGTTTTAGTGGAAGGAAGAGCTAAATCAAGAGCAGCCATTCTCAATAGACCCTCTGCCCTTAACGCACTTACCACTTCGATGGTATATTTTTCTGTCTTGTCTCTAGTTCTCTTTAACGATTTCCTTCCTTCTGTGGTGATTTATGTATAATAACATTGTGGATATTTGGTCTTAGTTTTGACTAGTTTAGAACCCATATGCTGAAATTATGATTTATTGGAGTTGTTTTATTGATAGGCAGCTCGGCTAAAGAGATTGTATGAGTCATGGGAAGAGAACCCGGATATTGGATTTGTCTTGATGAAGGTATATCATTTTTAGGGTCTGCAAACATACCTTACAGCATTGTTTTCAGGGTATTTCAAGATTTTTTCTTTTCTTTTCTGTTTGATATCTTTGGTGTGTCTAACCTGCTTTCTGAAAATTTTCAAGGGTGGTGGCGGGGCTTTCTGTGCTGGTTCAGATGTGGTTGCTCTCTATCAGTTAATTGATGAAGGTTCGGTGAATGCTGATCTTTATATTAGATTCATCAATTAAAAATGACTTAACATGAAAGAGGAATTCTAGAATGGAATATAGTAATCTTTTCTCCCTTTCTGATGTATGTGGATGTTTTTCTAAAAGAAAAAATTGCTGATATGTTTGTCAATTTGGAATCTGTACAGGGAAAATTGAAGAATGTAAAAGTTTTTTTGAGACGCTTTACAAGTTTGTATACGTACAAGGAACATATATAAAGCCACATGTGAGAATTCAACCCTCTTGATATCATGTTAGTTTTATTGCTAGAGGTGTTTGTTGATATGTTTTGCACGATGTACTCTAGATATGTATGCTTTCTTTCTGGCTGTGTTTTCCTTTTTCTTTTCTCCAGAGTTTGTCCTGCAAAGAGAGAAGTCAATAATTCATATGATAGCCATGTGAATTCTTATGAATTTCCTCTCCTTTTAACCACTTGAAAGGAGTGAGTGATGGTCATTCAATTAACTATTCTATAGGTGGCTATCTTGGATGGTATCACAATGGGATGTGGGGCTGGAATTTCTCTTCCTGGGATGTTCCGTTTGGTGACTGATAAAACGGTGTGTTTCTGGTGCTACACTCATAAAATGAATTTTAAGAAATCTCCGTGCATTTCATCCTTTTGTGAGTTATTGATAGTGGTTCTTATGAATGGTTTTGAAACAAATATTTCTTACCTTTTGTTTTCTAGTACATTTTATACATATCGTGCATGCATCATGATTTATGATCAATGTTTGCACTCGTATGTGTATGTTATCGGCAGGCTTTTTCCCATCCAGAGGTTCACATGGGGTTTCACCCTGATGCAGGAGCTTCCTTTTATCTTTCTCGATTACCTGGTTACTTAGGTAAATATTTTTTACTTCAGTTTGCAGCATTTGGTTGTGAGATGCATTTACTGGTGTTACTGTTCTATGCAATAGATAGTTATTCACTTCTGGGTGTTCATGTCTGTGCCTGGTTTCTCCACTCAGACAGCAAATGACAAAAATCTTGTTGAGCACCTTTTTTTCTTCTAATCTTTAATTTTCTCTTACCTATGTCACGGAAAACAGCTAAATATTTCATTTCTCTTACCTATTTCACAGAAAACACATATTTACCTCTTGATACAGCTAACTTTTTTCCTTCCATAAATTTTGTATATTGCAAACTTCAAATTATTTTTATTGTGAACAACGTGTATTTATGGGATGTGGTTTTTGCCTCTTTCAGGAGAGTACTTAGCTCTTACAGGAGAAAAGCTTGATGGAGCTGAAATGATTGCTTGTGGCCTTGCCACCCACTTTTGCTTAAACGCAGTTTGTACTTGCTAACCATATTCTATTTTGTTTCTTTGTTTTTCTCCCTGTTCTCCACAACTTATGACAGTGAACTGTTCCTGACAGAGACTGCACATGATAGAAGAGCGCCTTGGCAAGTTGGTGAATGATGATCCTGGTGTCATAGATACTTCTCTTGCACAATATGGTGACCTGGTTTATCCGGACAGAAGCAGTGTTCTACATAAGTAATGTTTCTTCAATTACAATTGCTTATATTGCATTTGGATATGATTAGTTGATTCTGATGGCAGTTCAATAATATGCTTTGGTGGGATTACTGCAGTTAGAAACCATTTGTGTCTTGACAGTTCACAAGATTATTTTATTTGTAATGATTACAGTCCAAGTATGACTTATTGCTCACCCCCTCTTTGCAGGATTGACACAATTGATAAATGTTTTTGCCATGATACAGTTGAGGAAATTATATATTCTCTGGTAAGCTTAATTTTATATGGTGGTTTGCATTTGCATGTATCCATTCTTTCATGTGGATGCATACGTAGGCATGCATTTCTGATACTGTCTAAAGCCACTGGTGGAATACCACAATATTGCTTTCAAAATTAAACAATGTAGTCTCCAATTATTCAGCAACCCTATTTATCTGATATTTCTTAAAACTTAGGAGAATGAGGCAGCAGAAACTTTGGATGAGTGGTGTAAGAAGACACTCAAAAAGTTAAAAGAAGCCTCACCACTGAGCCTTAAAGTTACTCTGCGATCTGTAAGTGACAAATGCTCAGCTCTTAGATTTGATTTGGACTAGTAATGAGTCATTCTAATTCCATTGTTATGATCAGATACGAGAAGGCAGATTTCAAACTCTAGATCAATGTCTTGCACGTGAATATCGGATAACTCTTAATGGTATCTTCAAACAAGTCTCTAATGACTTCTCTGAGGTATGGACTTAAACATTAATTAAGAGAGCCTTTTCAAGACTCCAATATTATGTTATGGCTTCAATTGACTATATACAGGGTGTTCGAGCACGATTACTGGACAAAGATTTTGCTCCAAAGGTACTCATTCGAGTTTCTTCATGATCAATCTTATTCATGTACATTTCTAAGCAAAGTCTGCTTTGAAGTAACATATGGGTTTGTAATCCCAAATGCAGTGGGATCCTCCAACCCTGGAACACGCAAGTGAAGATATGGTTGAAAGCTATTTCACTCCACTCAAGGAGTCCGGACCAGAGCTGGACTTGCCAATATCATTGCGAGAACCTTATATTTAATTAGGGTCTGTATACCTCTGAAAAGGGGTTTGTAGTTTTGTTCATCAGATAAAACAGAGGACTCCACAGCTTAAAACAAAACACAAAATTGTCATTTCGGTTTATTCTGCCAGTCAGTTTCATCTTTCTGCAGAATTTCAATCCCGACTAGACAGTTTTGAGATGTAAAATTATTTAGTTTGCTGTTTGCTTTAATGCAAAATTCATTCTAAATACAGCTTGTAATGACCAACTAAATAAAACAAAAAATCACCACACAGCTATCTGCTACTACTCCCAGAAAATCATCTTGATGTCCTCTGTAGACAAAATACATTGGACTTTTGTGGTACGAATCTGCTAGAAGCATGCAAGGTTTCTTCGATTCAACATTCAACATTGATATGTTGATAATCACTGGAATTAGTAGAAATTAAGAGCAGCAGAATTCAGTCGTGTAACAGGTGATTCAGGTGAAATCTAATGGTCAACATCATTTATCATATGGTGCTTCTCTTATACCCGTTAATCACTACTGTTTTCAGGAAGTACGTTGGCTTACACATTTGGTAACATCCCAAGTTTAGACAACTTATATACACAAAATCACCACTGGAAAACTCCAGGTGTTAAGTTCCAAAAAGTTTAGCAGCCAACAGATAAACCCAACTGCAGGTGTTAGGGATGCAGTAACATACCAAGTTCCAAAAAGTTATGCAGCCAACAGATAAACCCCACAAACTCAACATATCCGGGTTTTGAACTTGAGATTGATGCCCATACAGAAAAGCTCCTGATATAATAACTTGGCGCCATATGGAAGACTTACCCTGACAATACCATCGGCGGACTCACACAACCTGCAGTATGGCCCTCTAATCTTGTGACCGCCCTGCACCGTCCGCTGTATCACACTTGCAACATTTTCACACTTCTGACAAATGTGCATCTGGGAGGAATCACTAAGTGTGAAGATGCGTTCATGTAAGTTAGCTGATGCTCCATGAGCAATGAGACAGTCCCGCTCCATTCCCCGAACTTGACGCCACCAAAACGTTTCCTGTCAGCAACCGGCTGCCTTGTAAGTGGGTGGACGGGGCCAGTGTTCCGGAATTTGACTTTATCTTCGGCCATGTGGACTAGTCGCTGATAGAATGTTGGGCCAATAAAAATCAGGGAATGAACCATCTCGCCAGTTCGACCATTATAGAGTCTCTCATTTCCCCACCTTGAAAATCCAGCCCTGAACATGGTTTTAACCAAATGTGCATCAAAACAGCTCAATTACATAAATAATAAAATAACGACCAGAAAAGTTCAAGACCTTAAATTGAAAAGAAAAAAGTGCAAATCGAACATGGCCAAGTAGGTGCGAATGTGCAATCTTGCAACTAATATATCACATACAAGGAAACAAAGTAACAAACATGCTCATGTTGCCCCTCCTGGGGCAAGGAGGTAGAGCTACTGAAGTCTTTCAGGCAAACATATTCTAAAAACAACCAAAAAGCAATCAGGATCAACACTATTTATCATATCAAGGGGAAAAAACCCAACCAAGCATGCATTTCTGTGATCTGTGTGAGTTAAGCATGAGAGATAGAGTTACCTATGCAACTGCTCTTCAATGGCCTCAACTGTAATGGCACCAACAGAGGTGGAGAACGGGGTGGCATGTCTCAATGACCCACCACAGGCAATCCCCTTTGCTAGAGTAGCCTCCAAGAGTTGGCCTGGTGTTTGACGTGAAGGAAATGCATGTGGATTAATTACCACATCTGGGACAATTCCTTGTCCTGTGAAAGGAAAGTTCTCCTGAGCCTCCAGAAATCCAAGAACACCTTTCTGTCCATGCATGCTTGAGAACTTGTCCCCTAGAGAGGGAAAACGAACCTGAAAGATTCCAAAAGTGCAACTAATAAATAAAATAACATGAGTTGCCAACATGAATTTACAATTGGGAATGAGAAGCCTGAATTAATATAAATCCTAGACCATCTTTAACCCCAAATAAAGAAGCATTTTGGAGAAGTAAGATGCTATTTTCCAATATGTGTGTGCCTACGCTTGGCTATAGGAGGGATCAAAAGGACAAATATATTGCATGGGCAGTAATATCACCTGTCTCAGAGATACTACAGCAAAGTTTTTCCCATCATCATTTGATGATAGAACAACTTTCTGGACTCTGCCTCTTTCAGTGTGCTTCAGTTTTACACTGTGATCAGCCCCAGATGCAGCACACCTTCCTATGACAATGTCCCCACTCAGCAGCTCGGCACCAATATAAGGAAAACCATCATCATCAAGGCTATCTACACGGCCAATCTTACTTTGGATTTTCCCAAAATTTACATGGTCCTCTAGTTTTCGTCTCTTCTCCTGGCTTTCCTCTTTGTTGTCAACTTCTGCTTTATAACTTCTTATATGTTCAGAACGGAACATACCACGTTGTAGAGAGGCACTGTTCATAACCAAGGAATCCTCCTGGTTGTATCCAAGGTGAACATTCACTGCAACAATAGCATTCTGGCCATTGAACAATTCAGGCTTTGGAAGTATTTGAGTGCGACCAAGAGAAGCTCCCGGCTGTCCAAGACAATCAGCAGACATTGTCTGAAAGAGTGGCCTTTGGGGGTAGTACAATTGCTGTGACAGAGTATCAACTCTTATATTGGGATTTGTTGTAGAAAACCCAATGGCCTGTTGACAATGCTTCTGTGCTTGGTACAGAACCCTCCTTGCATGGTCATGATTTGGAAATGGAATTATCCCACAGCTCAATCCCAACAGAAATGATGCGTCAAGCTCACAATGAGTATACTTGACGCGTTGCTGCCCTTCAACTTCTGCCAGAAGGTACTTGAAAGACCATGCAGTAGGACAGTCCTCTTCTTCTTCGCATCCAACAAGCTCAATTATCCCCTTGTCCAAAAGAGTCTGAAAGGTGTAGTTTTCCCTTTTCAGTGCTTTTATCTTGTCCAGATTCTCAACTACCAGAAGGGGACGCAGAATCCTTCCAGCATCAGCAAAGATACGCACTTCTCCTTGCTTCTCATCTCTTTTAACTTCCATCTACAACAGAAAAATCATATTAAAGATGTTAGGAAGGCAACACTAATAAATCCTGTAAACAGCAGCAGAACTACCCTATGACAAGTATAATAGAAGAGTAGAAGAAAGTGTAACTTTTAATACCTTTCCTAAATTTTTATCTACTTTAGATGAGGAGTTAGAAGGATTGGAATGAATTCAATTATGTTCTGAAGAAAGCTCTTGGAAGTAGATCATACGCTAGTAATTTAGAGAAAGAGATTGGTCAACCAGCATCATAGTTACTGTAGCACAGAATTTACTGAATCCATGATCATGCTTTTAATTATATTGTAGCCCATTTCAACAATAGAATAATGGTTGGCTGTAACCGTACAGCCCACTGATTAATTACATTGGATGAAAACAGTTTATCTAACCACTATTCAGTGCAAGCAGGAAAAAAAAAAAGCGTTAGCTTCGGTTCATAGCTCCAATTAGATTGGAGAATGGATTGTACAATCTAAAGAGTCTAAAACTTTAAAACAATTATGATTTAGCACAAGTTACATACATAAAAATTACTTTGTCATCATAAATTCTCAATGATATCATTAAAAACAGAGAATTAGAAGAACAATTTAGAAAGAGAAAAAAAAAAAAAAAAAGGAAACAGAGAGGAAAACAATTTTGATTATACATGGTTCAACTTGTTCCCTTGTTTATAGCCCGGGAAGATAAAAATAAATTTAAGGAGTCTCAAAGGAAGTAGTGACAACCTGATGTGGTAATTTTTTCTTCCGCCTTTTTCCTCTTAACTCAGCGGTAAACGAGAGCGAATCTTCAGAAACGCCAACCCACTCCCCATTCAGAAACACTTTAAATTTCCCATTTAGTGAAGTTGTAGCATCATCCACTAGCTTCTCCATGCCACAATCAAACAACGTGTCAACTAAAGGATCTAAAGTGTCAGTACTGACAAGTCCTGTGATAGCAAGATTTTTCACAAGTCCACAATTTTCACCATCAGGAGTGGAGAGAAAGCAAAGTCTGCCCCAGTGAGAAGGGTGCCTGAATTTAGAAAAATATGTCAGAATAAAACAAATTAAAAACCACAGCTGCCAAACATCATAACCAGCCAGAAATTTCAAACTGTCCAAAATTTTCAAGACAGTTTGTGTCAACAGGCATAAACTTTAGATCATTTCTTCAAAAAGCTCTCATATGAACATATATAATAATTAGAGAAGAAACAAAAAGAAGGGAATAACTACTGGTAAAAGGAACCTGGCTGCGCTCTATTTTTCAGTTATCTCAAAATTCAGCATCACAAATACATACATACTTATATATATATATATATATATGAAGATTTTGCGGTTGAACAAACATTTTCTAGCAACTTCATCACACCATTAGTACAAAAAATATCAAGGAAGCCTGGTATGTTGAAAGCATAACACCATTACATATTAATAAATATCATTAAACCAACCAATCAACTAAAATAAATATCTTTGCTTTGAAAATTATACTCAATGTTGACGACACATATGCGAAAATGGAAGCAAATGAAAGATCAAAAGTAACTTACGGGTATCTAGCATCTCCAACCTTCCCGGCGTAGGCAACCTGTTGGCGTGTTTTCCTAAGATCAATCAACGTTTGCAGTGGGTTTGCCCGTCCAAGATTCGCAACAACACCAGAAATCCTTTCCATCCTCTTAAAAGGATGTGACCATGCTCCAGTTGAAAATGCTCTTGAAAGCCCATTTGTGATAATAGATGCATCAAGGTAATGCTCAATAGGCCGCACAGTGCGCCCTGGATAAAGATCTCTTTGCAAAGCCTTGGTCATACGCCTCCTTGCATGTGCAATATGCACTTTGAGCTCTCGCTCAAGGAGCTCACCAGCCAACTCCAGCCTCTTATTTCGAAAATCATCTCTATTGTCACATTTTCTGCGGCCAGAATAAGCTTGTAAAAGGCACTTCACCATATACCCAAGAAAACGAGCCTTTTGTTTAAGGCCGCAAAGTGCAGGGAAAAGATACAAGGCAATGCACTTCTCAACATCTCCTTTTTCCTCAGGTGGAAATTTGGTATCCTCTATCAATTTATGTAAATAACAAAGAGCATTATTCCTTCTACGAAATCCCTCACAATTTTTATCAGCATCACAAATGGAGGCAAATAGTATGTTTGATATGCCAGCCTCATTGTTCTCATAATCAATCAGATTTACAACTTCTCGGTCTGATGAGACACCGAGGGCAAAAAATAAAATCCAAACAGGGATTACAGTAGACAGGAAATATACAGTTAACAGTTTCTCTGCTCCCTTGATGTCTTTTTTTGTTCGGCCAACTTCCTTAACATCCTCGGAATTTGAAATCTCCTCAAGTCTAATAATCAGTCTATTCCTCTTCACTTCTGACTTGTATGAAACTGTCCAACCCTGGTTATTTAAAATCCATAGTCTTTTCATGCAAATTTGCTCTTGAGCAACAAATATCTGCAATAAAAATGACATAAACCTCAGCCACCCCTTGGCTTCTGAAACAAATAAGGGATTTAGCTATAGTTGATGGACTGCATGGTACATCCAAGTAATGGTAAACATTTATGGATACAGAAAGACAAAGATTACATCTTAAAGTATAAAAGAAATCCAATAATATGGCAAGCTTAGCAAAGTTTAATGGATATGTTTTCCAGAAAACTGAAATGAAGTGAATGTGTTAAGACAAAAGCCACCAGATATTACAAAGAAATAGGTCCAAGAAGTCAATCAGAACAAGCAAAATGATTTCGTTTTTAATGGTTTGAGCCCATACATCAGTCAATGAGGTTAAACCTAATTCACCATCTTGAATTACAAGTTTTGAAGTTAGAAATAAAAGAAACGGGATAGGTCTTCATTTGAAAGTTCACCACTCAAAATAGTAAAACGGGTAGCTATTTTTATCCACAACAGATTTACATGCTAATCCCCATCAAATGAAAAAACAAAGAGCTACAATGAATCAGCTCCAAATAATGTTTTAAGAAACTGACACCATTATGTATGTTAGAACTTCTCATGTCATGTATAGCTCAGATAGCAATAACAAAAAGAGAGAGCTGAAACAGGACAGAAGTTAATAACAAATTAGATTCACCTTCTCTGCACCCTTGATCAGAAAATAGCCACCATGATCAAAATCACAATCATCTTTTTCTGCTTCATGCATCCAACACAACTCTGATCTTACCATAACAGGGATCCTCCCAATTATGATTTCCCTTTCCTCATTAAATAAAACATCATTCTCAAGAAATTGTTCTCTTCCAGTTTTAAACTTGTCACTTCTAACAAGTTTCTTTGTATATACCTGACAAATTACAAGGAAAAAGATGAGAGATTAAAGAACTCTCCTTTTCAAGCTTTATGATGCCATGATCATTTCTGGATGAGTTTACAAATCAGATAAAGCATTACAGAGTAGCACTAATGCTGAAAAAATACGGGGTCACTATCAGCTTATTTAAGTTAATAAGATTCAACACATTTAACTCTCAAACATTACCAGATCTAGCATTTGAGAGTGATTAATAGAAATTGTTTACCTGAAAAGTGACATTGACCTTCATTCTGGATGAATATGTCATGTTTTGAAGCCTGGCATGCCTGGGCAGCAGTTTCTGTTCGCTGCCTCCACTACCAGTCCAAATGGCAGGCCGATCAAGTGAGACCCTTCCAAATGTCACAGAAGCATAACGCCATTCACCATCTTCCCCCTTCTTTGATGGGTCAAAGCCTGGTTCAATATCCATCTTACCAAAAGAATCAAAGACCTTCTGGAGACCATTTCTAATGAAATGGTTGTATGAGTTGATCTGATGGCTAATCAGACCATACTGCTTGAAAAAAGACATAGCTGCCTTTCTACAGAAACTTTTTAGATATTCTTCCCCCAGCTCTTTTAAACCGAAGTCATCAAAAATACCATCATCATCATCAACGTCCATATCACCCTCATCAGAGATCTTGTCCTGGTCATCCTTACCACTCATACCCACCTCTTCTCTGGAAGACCGCGAAACCCCCATTGCATCAAAATCTGGAAAGAAGACAAAATGAATTAAATCTATAACCATCAGCCCAGAGATTAAAAAAATTTTCTGCAATGCAACCCGGAGTTCAAATGTACAAAAAGCCATGCATGCATAAATTTTTGTCTTAAATTAGCAGACCTTGATATATAGCGTAACCAACCCCACACAAACAGCATCACCTCATGTACTAAGTAGGAAAAGCACAATCAAACTTAAAAATGAGACATTTTTGGACATGGGTTTAAGTTAAAGTCAATAGAAAACAAAAAGCAGGAGGCTTTTACCATAGAAAATAAGAACAAAAACCAGCTTCTTCTTCATTAACAAAGAACCAGGACGAAAACTAACACGGTACAAGGATCAAGCACTGACAACAGGAAGAAAACCAAAAAATCGTTTCAGGAACAAGCAGAGAGAACCAAACAGAAACAGAAGACTTACATTCACCTTCTCCTTGAACAACGCCCCTAGACTACAGGATGCAACTGCTGACAAACCTGAACTTGCTAGGGTTTATACAGTCTCTGACTCTCTGCTACATAATGTGTGTGAAGTTTGTCCGTACGTGAAGCTTGGCAGTTGACGATCAGTGTCAGGTGTTATTAGCAGTGAAAAGACTCGGTGTTATTAGTGAGCATGGGGAGGAGACGATGGATCAGAGGACAGGATGTGAAAGGCCTATTATGCTCCTTTACTTTCTTATGTGACTTCTGGATGTCAAAGGGTATTATCGTGAAACAATGAAATCATCAATTATGTGTGGAAAAAGGTACATTTAAAAAAAAAATTATTTTTACCTTTTGGGATTTTGCTGGGGAAATATTAGAAAGGCGCATGTGCCCTTAAATGAGGTTTCTCTCAGTAAAATAGGAAGTTTTCGAACTATGAATTTATTTAAAAAAGTACTCTAAATGAAATTATTTTAGTAAAAAAGTATTTTTTAAGATGAATTATATATTAAAAATATAATTTATTTTTTTAATATTTTAATAAAATTATTGTTTTTTAATAAAATAACATAATAAATAATTTTATTAAAATATTTAAATAAATTTATAAAATAAATTATATTTTTAATGTATAATTTACCTTTAAAAACTTAAAATTTTTATTTTAATAATTTTAATATTTAAATTACATTTATATTATAAGTACAACTTGAAAAACTTGAAACTCATCTTATACGATTCAACTTAAAAAAACATGAAACTCGTCTCTCAGAAGAACTACTGATTAATTGTGGGGAGACAAATGTTCAGAATTCATAATGTAGCAAAAAAATAAAATCACAGATGGTATAACAAGGAAGGTGAATTAATGAGGATTTGGACGTTTTTCCTCTATTTCCCTAATTTTGGTAACTCCTTGTCCATTAGACCAATTTGAAAGAATGATCTTGAGTTCTTGACCAATTACTTGAAGTTACCAACAGATGACAAAGAAATAATGGTTCTTATTTAAATGGCAGAATTGCAGGTGTTTCAATCAAGCCGGCGTAGGAGGTACTCAACTTCAACATCCTTTGTGAGAGGTATCATCCAATCTCCATAGAGGCGAGAAACCACAGATGGATCCACCTTGCATTTCACATTGGTGTCAGTGTTTCCAAGGGTCACTTCTTGCCCGAACACCATTGCCTTCTTCTCAACCCTCTTCTTCACCATCTCTTCCACTTTCTCAAAAGTCAGCAACTTCATCAGACCTTCTTTGTCCTGTGACATTAGCCCAACAAAATGCAGATTATCATTCATGTCAACGTAATCTGAGCTTGATATACAATGCAGTGTTATTCAAGTTGTGTTCTGAGTACCTTAGTGCGAATTGCAGGCTCATAGTCTTGAGGAGCATCCCTGAATTTGACCTCAGCTACAAATTTTCCATAATGTATCCTTTTAGATAGGGCCTGCAGGAAATGCCAGTAAACTTAGGGTTGGATCAACTTACATTGTATTACATAACAAGTCATGAAGTGGACTTAATTAATTACCTGCAGACACTGGAGATCACTTGCAGCTGTTGATGCATAGTTGCCATCATCACCAGCAGCAACAAATAAAGGAAGCAATTGGTTGAAATACATATCCCATATGTCCTTGTTTATGTTGATGGAAGCAGATGCAGGATGCAAAACCTATAAATATGTATGGTACTGGAATTAACTAGCGGAAAATATAATCAATTTTACTATCAAAAAAGATCACTAGCGGGGAAAATTAATTACCTTAGGATACTCAAAATGTGGAACTACCGTATCTGGTAGATCATCTGGAAAGAAAGGATGTTCTTCAGGGTTCTCATATCTCCCAACCTAAACCTCGAAATCAAAATAGATGAGAAAGCTAACAAAATCCACAATATTTTTTAACATTCACATAAACATAAATGAGTTGATCAGTTGATGCATATTGATTAACACAATCACTCCAGTGAAAACAGTTCATAAAAACTACATTAAGTCAATGGTTTCGATTTTTTTTTTTTTTTGGTAATAATCTTTTCTTAATACTATTAATCTAAGATTAAGTTGCTTTTTCTTAGTGCAAAGGTAACAAAAAACAATGATATATTCTGTTTTTTGCGTCTCTTTAGTGTCAAGAATGTGCCGAGAGTCGAGATTTGTGTAAGAGTATTGACAACAAAATGACAAGAAACTGCATTTTCTTATTCCCTAAACAAACCTTTACACATGGAGGGTGGAGCATTAACATGTTAGGTTTGAGAAACAAACAATAAACAGACAGCTAACAAACAAAACAACAAACTTGTTTTCAATTTTCCTAGTTTAATAAAATCAAATTTTAACAAGAAATTAACTAAAGAACAATGAAGGGTATAATAATGTACCTTAGCTTGGAGATTCTCCGTTTGTTTAACGATGAACTCAACCAACGAACCAGAAAACCCAGGAACCCAAGATTGATTATAGGTAGGAGAATTCAAGGGAAACTTGGCTCTCTCTATAAGACTGAAAATAATGGTGTCTTCTTGCCTGATCAATGAGTCTCTCACCGTGTCAAGTGTCATTCCACTGCTTACTGAATCATCCCAGCCGAGACTGACCTCTGCTTCCACCATGTTAATATCTACCCACCCCCACCCCCACCCCCACTCTCACCAACAACATGAGATTAGAAATTACAAAACAAGAATCAGCAGTAACAGAAATTTATACCCAGATCGTGAGACTAAAAAAAACTAACCTGGGTGTTGGAATTGGAGAGAGAATCTTGATGAAAGATTCTTCCTTTATGAGGATTTTCTGAGTTCTGAATCTCCTCTTGAAAGGGGATGAGGAAATTGGGAGTGAGAAGAAGAAACTTAAAACG